GTAGTTTCCCAGCATAAACACCGGTAGGAGCTTGGGTGGTTGGGACAGTAGCTGGAGCAGCAGCAGGAGCAGTACAGCATGAACTGCCACTGTTTGTTGTTTCTTGGAGGGCTCCTGCGTAGACTGACCCTTCCGCTTGTTCCATGATTTCTTCTTCTTCCCACCACTTTCCTTTTGTGGCTCGGAGACAGCTGCCACCTCGTCCAGATCGATTCCATGATCGATCAGAGTCTGTGCCAGATCCTTGGCGCTTTCAAATGTAGTTGGTCTAGCAGCCAAGACATTCCCTCTGGTTGGTTGCGTCAGTCCCCAAATGTACCTCTCGATTTTCTTGCTTTCCGGGGTGACCATTCCCGGACAGAGGAGAGCCAGATCACAGAATCTAGCGGTGTAGGCAGCGATGTCAGAACCCTTCATCTTCAAATTCCAGAGTTCGTGCTCCAACTTTTGCACTTCGCCCCACGGGCAGTATTCTGCAAGCATGAGTTCCTTCAGTCTTTCCCAACCCATGGCATTAGCCACTGGCAGAGTTAGGGTTTTGAATCAACCATTCCACCAGGTCAAAGCTCTGTCGGTGAAAGTGCAGGCGGCGAAATTCACCTTGTTTTCTTCGGAACAGGCGCAAATTTCGAAGATGGATTCGATCTTCTCGAACCATCGAGTCAGAGCGATGACACCTCTATTTCCATCGAAGGACTTGGGTTTTGCAGTCATGAAGTCCTTGTAGGAACACTCCTTTTGATGTCCCTGACTTCCGTCTTGTCTTTGTAACTGTTGCCTGAAACATGACGGGGTCGAACTGAGGAGGTGGTGGTGGTGGCGGAGTGTTGTTCCTTCTGGTGGGTCTTGGTCGTGGAGGCATCTTTCTCTAGAACAATCAGGAAGAAGAGGATGGTAAGTCCTCAAGATATATGAAACAAGATATATCTCATCCTGATAACAAAAGTGTTCTACCAAGCGATAAGCACAGAAAGGTTACTAATGCAAGTAAGTTATCGCTTAAGAAAGAAGAGGTAGCAACACTTGGAATGAATCTGTATACTGAGTTTGGCTCTAGCTAAAATACTCCTATAGTATTTTATGTGGGATGATTTTGGTAAGTTTAAGGCCTGTTGTAACACCATAGTCACTCCCAAGCACATGTTGGTCATGTCTCGAATGAATATAGTTGATCAGGCTATATTGACCCTAGACATGATTACATAACTGCCCAGGTTTAACCGCAGTGCCCCAACATCCAAATACTTTTTGTTTTGTTCTACTAATGACACGAATTCTGTTATGTATGCATGTTCGTATATTTTTTATAAAAATACTTATATTTTTGAAAGTATACTTTTAGTGTAGAGCACTTAGGCCCCTTAGTGTTTATAGTTGTATACCACGTAAGGTTCGGTATACTAGTTCGCTATAAACAAGGGCTCTGATACCAATCTGTCACACCCCAAAGCCAGAATGGCGGAAACGTTCTGGGGTGGAGGACGTCATGTGTAGCATCACAACCAATGAATAATAGCAATCATAGCAACACAGCCATTACAGTGAATACTTAAATGAAAAATGATTACATCAGTTTGGAACTTTGTCTGAAACTTGTTTGAATTACATCAAATAGTTTGTAAAATATAAACATGCATAAAACTCTTATTGCTCCAGCTTCTCGAAAATCCAGCAAGTACCTGTCTACTGATTTCCTGAGAATACAAGCAGTTTTAAAATATCAGCATAAAGCTGGTGAGTTCATAAGCGGTATTTTGTAATGAAAACTTGTTGATAAGCTCGTAAAGGGGTTCGTATAGTTTCAAGAAAATCCGATATTTTCTTTAGTGAAAATGTAGTGTTTTCAATTCTGTATAAAACCATGAATAACTGTATGTTTCCAAGAAAATCCGATATTTTCTTTAGTGAGAATGTAGTGTTTTCAAATCCTGTATAAAACCATGAATGTTCATTACTAAAAATTATAGTGAAATGCAAAAAATAATACTTCATGTGACTAGCTATGCTAATCATGATGTATAAGTATTTCGTGCGTGAAACCATTGTATGAGCGATGCTGTTTGAGAACTCTGGGAATTCTCCAGTTGTAGTGTGTATTAGTTCTATTTAGTAAAATAAAACCATTGAAGAATGACCGTTTGTAAACCAAGAGTGATTTATACATATTGTGAGTCGTATAACCATACTTGATATGACTAGAGACCTTTCCAACGTTCTTCAGGCGTCGAGTTAAATGACATTTGTACACCCCAGGCGTGCCCGCCTAACTGTAGCTAGCAGTTCAGGTGCGGGATTGTCAGTCCCGAATAGATCTATTCACAAATCTCACGCTCTCCCTCTAGGAGACTCTGGTTATACTATGATAGGATTTGTCCCTGTACACCTAAGGGTACAATATTGAAGTAGCGCCTCACAGTATCGTACAATCTAGTTTACATGTAGTGTAGTAGCGTTCTACCATAGTGAAAATCCGTATGTATACCGTATGTAGTGATAATTACAGTTATGAATACCATGATAAAGTAGTGATGTAAACTGTAAACTATTTCTGTCTTAGTGCATATGCTTAGTAGTGAAAGTTTCTGTACTTGTTATGTTTAGAAAATCCCAAACTATACCGATTATAGTTTGTATGTATAACGTAGTGAATAGCGAGTCCTGAAAACTATGCAATTTTAGTGAAAACGTCCCTTATGCTCAACACAGTACAAAAGGGTTAAAGTATGAGAATTGCATGAGTTTTATATTGTTGAAAGCATTTATGTTTAGCTTGTATTCCCCCCTGAAAACATTAAAAACATGGAAAATGTAGGGGTATGAACTCACCTGCAGTGAGTGGTTCTGACGTGTGGTTGGAAGAGGAGTGCAGAGTGTCAGGTGTAACCTTGAGCACGCAATGATCCTAATAGACACATATAGACATGTATGTGTATGAATTTAGTGTATAGACGACTAAATAAGAAGGGTAACACCCTTATTGGCTAGGAAACTCCAAGATTTATGGGATACAATCACATATGATTGCATAACTAGGGTATATGGCCACCCTATAGAGTTTACGGTCAAAGAGGTATGACCATTGGAGTTCACGGTCCAAGTGTTCACGGTATTAGTGTTTACGGTCTTAGTGTTTACGGTCCAATGACCTTACGATCATGGGTTTACGGTTCCATGAGTTCACGGTCTAATGACCTTACGATCATGGGTTTACGGTCATTAAAGGGTGTACGGTCTAAGGAGATTCAACCGTAAACTCATCAATCTTGCACAAATGATGGTTTTCAAGGGCTTCATTCAAAGGAATCGGATTCTAGGGACCATGCTTAGCCTTAGGAAGGGTAAAGGCTATAAAAACACCCTTTATAAGTGTTTACGGTCTATGAAGATTCATAGGACCGTAAACTCTTTTGTTCAAGCAAAGAGTGATGATCTCAAGTCCAAAATGAAGGATTTTAACTCGATTCATGAAGGGGAAGATGATATTTACGGTTTTTGAAGGCAAAGAAGGTGTTTTCGGTCCAAAACACCATCGTGTTCTTGAGGATCTCCTTGAGCAAACTCGAAAATTGTAGAGATAGAGAGTAGAGAGAGAAAGTCTTTGGAGTGTTTAAAGTGTGAAATGAGGGCTACATACCCTATATATAGGGTAGAGTTCTCGGTCAAAAATGGGAGTCCACCTGACCGTAAACGGGTTTACGGCCTATACGAGTTTACGATTACCCTGACCGTAAACTCAAGGCCTCGACCGTAAACTCCTTTTTGGGGAGGTTTACGGTTGCTAGGTAGTTTAGAACTTAAACTGACACTTCCAAATACTAATTCCTTTGATTCACTAGAGTTAGAATACTCAAAACAGGTTCCAAACAGTGATAACTGGAAGCAAAATGAGTCTAACACTGATAAATTTGAATGTTTACACAAGCTAGAAATTTCGGGTTGTCACAGTATGTAGCCTCTGGCCATGTAGAGCATGTCTCGTAAGAGAATGACTTCTATTCTATGGCATTGGCAGAAGGTTAGACAGGGTTGAAAGCCTGAAATCTACCAAAATGTTTAATCAGAAAGTGTATGTCTTTTGTGCCATTTGGGCCGAAGTTTTATTGATGTATATCAAGTATTGAAATTGTTATGTCTTATTGATTGATATGGAAAGCTTGTCGAATGATTCACATATGCCTTTGTTGTTCCTTGTTCCCTTTGCTTCTGCCATATTGAAGTATATATATGGCATAACGTTATATTGTATCTATTATTGAACTCACTAAGCGTCACCGCTTACCCCTCTCAATGTTTAACAATTGCAGGAGATAAGTAAACAGTATAGTCATATACTGTTGAAAGGTTTAGAATAATTATAATATTACTTTTGTATTTAGGGATCATATATGTTTAAAAGTATAGTATCCTGGGTAGTTGTGTAATATATAACACTTTGTAATAGTCGGTTTGTATCCAGTAGTTTGTAATCACTTTATCAATGTAAAATATTGTTTTTATGAATATGCATGTAGCATGTTTTGGAGTAACAATTGTCAAGTATGAAAGTTTGGGTCTTTCAGAAATACGAAAGTTAGAGTCTTTCACAAACAATAAGCTAATAAGCTAAAAACATATTTATCCAAACACCCTTTAAATGTCCAACATGCAAGGGATTTCCATATATATTATGTTTTATTTTTGGTTTATAAAATTATTTATATACAAAGTTCCCAAATTACCCTTATATAATTAATTAATTATTAAATTTTTGTAATTAAAATGATTGGTCCATATTAATCCCTATATAATATATATATATATATATATATATATATATATATATATATATATGTTCCTTTAGAGCTTCGATACCTCTGCGCGCGCATAAATATATATATATATATATATATATATATATATATATATATATATTTATGCGCGCGCAGAGGTATCGAAGCTCTAAAGGAACCTTTAAAGTTTAAACAAACAGATCAAAAAACCACTTCTTGATGCAACGGAAGATGTCAACTGATGAAAACAGTAATGAGCTCCACTTAGTGATGTTTCCTTTTCTGGCTTTTGGTCACATAAGTCCCTTTGTACAGCTTTCCAATAAGTTATCCTCTTATTCTGGTATCAGGATTTCCTTCTTGGCTGCTTCCGCCAATGTCCGGCGTATAGAAACCATGCTCAACCGCACCGCCGCCACTCAAATCATCGGTCTCAGAACTTTTGAAGCGTCGGATTTACTTTACATCTTCAAGAGCTTCCATGGCACTCCAAGCGTATTTGACCGTTTGATGAAATGCTTTAATGGATGCGATGCTGTACTCTAAGGACCTTACCTAGATTATATAACCAAACAGATCAACAAACCACTTCTTCTAATCGGTCCGGTGGTTCCCGAGCCACATTCCGGCGAACTGGACCAGACGTGGACCAACTGGTTGACCCACTTCCCGGCCAGATCCGTGATCTACTGCTCGTTCGGCAGCGAAACTTTTCTATCAGATGATCAGATTACAGAATTGGCTTTAGGGTTAGAACTCACCGGTCTTCCATTCTTCCTAGTGTTGAATTTTCCGGCGAATCTTGACAGCTCTGTAGAACTAAAAAGAACCCTACCTCGTGGGTTCATGGAGAGGGTGAAGGGTAAAGGGGTGGTGCACTCAGGGTGGGTGCAACAACGACATATTCTGGCTCATGAAAGTGTTGGGTGCTATGTCTGTCATGCTGGTTTCAGCTCTGTGATAGAAGCTCTGGTAAACGACTGTCAGTTGGTGATGCTGCCATTGAAGGGTGACCAGTTCATGAACTCTAAGTTAATGGAGCTGGATTGGAAGGTAGGAGTTGAGGTAAATAGGAGAGACGAAGATGGGTATTTTGGGAAAGAAGACGTGTTTGAAGCTGTGAAGAGTGTTATGATAGAGACTGAAAAAGAACCAGCGAAATCGATAAGGGAAAATCACAAGAAATGGAAGGGGTTTTTGCAGAATGATGAGATACATAATAAGTATATCATAGATTTGGTTAGGGATTTGAAGACACTTTAGTAATAGCACGACTGATGGTCTGAATGTAACCTCATGTATATCACTATATGCATCTACTTTAAAATTATGCTCTACGCTTTTAGATTATGTCAATAAATGCATAAAGGTTTCTAACATGAGATCAATCTTCCGTGCTTCCTAAGAGCATCTACTATGGTGAGTTTAATGGGAGAGTTGAATGAGGTGGCAAGTCTAATTGTCATTCAATGGATGAAACTCTACCATAATGAGATGCCACCTTGACATTCAATGGATTAGGAGTTCAATGGGAAAAATGAAAGTTTTCTAATCTTAAATACATATTATAAATTAGCTTTTGTAACTTTCTATTGAACTTTGTAGAGTTGAATGCATTGTAGGAAAAAATTGATTGAGTTGTATGGAATTTAGAAAAATGATGTGTCAATCCATTAAACTCTATGGAGTTCAATGCATTGTGGATGCCCTAAGATGTGTGTAGCCTTGAATTTCAAGTGTGCATGGTTTATCTTATATTTATTTACTTCTGGTCTACCCTTCTTGTAAAGAAGATTTGGTTGCTTGTTCTATTTATTTGATTAAGTTTAGATGATGCTACAAATAATTATCATCATGAAGAACAAACTACGATGGTATAAAAGATGATCTAGCTGGCGTTGATAATTAATCGAACTTTAGTGAGAATGAATTTAAGATCAACTGATAGTATCAATTGTTACGTGTGCATGTGTGAAGGCATGAAAGTCAAAAATGGGTAGGAACATCAATTTTATGTAAGCGGTTGAAGACATTTACTCTATATGTGTACTATGTGTGAACACATGAATATAGGGTGTTGAAGACTTTTACCCTATGTGTGTGAAGATGCAAGCTTTATTTTTTTAGAGCATTGTGTATCGGTCCAATGTTATATTACCAAAAATTGTCACATCATATAGCAACACAACAATAACTAGAAATGGGGGTGGTGTGCATGTGTTATAATATGTTATAACTTGGTAAGAGGTAGAGAGAAAACAAGAGAGTAAAAGATTGGATTGGTTGAATTCTCTGTTGCAGCTTGTTATCGTTACCACGAGATTTGACTTAACAATATTTGAGGGTGGTGTTTTTGATGTTATCACGGCGTTATGGGCATGCCACATCAATCCTAACGACGTTGTAGTGACCCATACCACTTGCTCTTATGCATGTAGTGTTTGTGGCTATAAATAGGCAATCTCCTTGCTTCATAATACAATACACCACATAGAAAATAGCCATGATTTAAAAATTGGACCGAACTCGCCGGATGTAGTTCTTAAATGAGAAAAAAACGATATACATGTAAACCAGGAAAACGGTTCGGTTGAACCGGTAAAACCGGGATTTAAAAAATATTTATTTTTTTATTTTTTATATAATTAAAATAAATAATAATGTAATTATGGTATCATTCGGTTTTTCCAGTTTTTGAGACCGATCCGACCAGTTAAACCATCGAACCAGTAAGACGGTCGGTTCGGCCTCCGGTCCGATTTTCAAAACTTTGGAAAATAGGGAGTGGTAGTTTTTTTTGTGCATAACCCTATTTTTGGAAACCAAATTGGTAATTTTGTGGTGATAATAAAAACATCTCTCTCTCTCTCTTTCTCTCGTGGATGTATGTCAAATTTGACTGAACCACGTTAAATATTATGCTCCGATTTTATTTTTTCGTTTGCAATCTTTTCAGTAGTTTTATTCCGTGTGTGTTAACGAAATTGTTTATCGTTTTGTCAGAAGTGTTTAACTTATTTTGTTGAATTCCATCATCAATTAAATGATTAATGCAACCAAACTCAAATATCAGGGACATCTTCTATGAAGTGCTACATGTTTTACATCATAAATTTAATATTTGTTGAAAAAAAATAAAAGGAAAGATCGGGCCAGAAAAAGACATGTTAAAAACCTAATCTAAAAAAACCTGATAGTGATTCATGTTTACTCTAACATCCCTCCTTCAAATGAATAATGAGATATTCAGTTTTACTTATTTGTCAAAACACACTCTATTAAGCTTCATGAACAAATCAACCTTGAATGACTCGATCTTAAGCTGGGCAAATAGATGTCAAGCCTCCATGTGGAACCACCCTTTTTTTTGGGGCAAACAAAGACACCTTTTGGACTTGTTCGAATCTCCATACCAAGGAAGTCTCATTTTCCCAAGGTTTATCATGTCAAGCTCATGCATAATTGAGTTCTTAACTCAACATGCATGTGCTCATAATTGTTGGTGAATCATATCATCTACATAATTGTATGACTTGATTCAACTATATATACCTTATGTTGATGTTAGACAAAGGGTTAATTGCTCCACATATGTATATAGCATGTAGGAGTTCAAGAATGTAAGATGTTGTTCATTTGCTTCCTCAAGAAAATGGGTTTCTTTGTTTCTACCCACAAGTCGCATATTCTTGATCATATAAACTATCAAAATATGGGAATCTTAACACCGTTTCTTTTTGCCTAAGTATGTCCAAACCATTAAAACTTAAATGGGCATACTTGTAGTGCAAAAGTCGCTCTTTATCTTCCATTCTTCCCTGAAGAAGTTGGAAGCAAGTTTCCTTCACTTAAATGATCTAGGTGACTGATTACATTTTTTTCCCTAAAAACAGGGATTACTTAGCAAAGTAAGAAACCAAAATCAAAGTCAGGCTTATTCAAACTAGCAGTGGTAAACTACTTCAACGCCAGTACAATGTGGTTTCATAGTCATTAGGATTTGCCCATTATAATTTATAGGGTTAATGTCTTTCAAGCGTAATAAACTTTATCAGGTGTACACATTTAATCACTTTTTTTTTTTTGTACACATATAATCATTAGGTTTAATGCGGCTCCTTGATTTTACTAAGTTGTTGGTTTGTAATGGTCATAATTATGTGTACCCAAAAAAAAGTTTAATGGTTAGATGCATAAGTTATCAGATTCGCTCAAGTAATGGCATCCCACGTACCCAATCAAAGCGAAATCGGTCCGGTACGTGATATATTGGTAAACCCCGAATTGGATCCAATCGATCCCAATCGCGATTCCAATCGATCCTAATAGCGTTCCTGGTGTAAAAAACGAGCGTACCTGAAGTCGATTGTGTTGCTTCCGATCGGATTTTAGGCGTCGACTCAGCTGACGTTTTCGGCGGGAGATAAGGCCACGTTTTATAGCGGCTGTTCGATTTCTCCAATTATATGTGTCGCTAGATACGATGGATCGATTCTTAGTATTCCTAATGTTAATTTCACACTGTAAATTGCTCATACTTGAGATTATTATATATAGACCTAGTATCAGACATCCAAAATCAAACTCAGTTCCGATTTCATCTTTCTGTCTTCAATTTCTCCACTTAATTTTGCTATTTCTACTTTCCACTATGGACGCGATTGATTGGTGGGCAACATATGGAGCGGAGACTCCGGATCTGGCGGACGTGGCAAAACGAGTCCTCTCGCAGCCGATTAGTAGCTCTTCGGCGGAGAGGAATTGGAGTACATACTCTCATATACATAGCATCAAAAGGAATCGTTTAAATGGCCCAAGAGCGGATAAACTTGTGTATATTCACTCTAATATCAGACTTTTGTCCCGGTTTTCAGAATCTTATAAAGCCGGACCCAACAAAAAATGGGACATCAATCCGGAAAGTGATCACATTGAATGTTCAAGTGCCCGTTTAGAGAAAATGGTGTGGGAGAACCTTGATGATGATGACGTGGAGAATGAAAGAGGAAAAAGGAAGCGGATAAACTAGTTTATGGTATTTTAATATTTTTGTTATTAAGTATTATGATGAAGTAATTATGGTATTTCTTTTGTTCCTGTTTTGGTAATTGGTACTTTTGTTATTAAGTATTTCATGTTTGAACGTTGAAGTGTTAAATTGTTAAGTAATAGTATACATATATTTTATGAAATGTCTTAGAACTAGGAACACTGTACCGGTTTGTACCGAGATGAGCCCCCCCCCCCCCCCCCCCCCCCGATACACTATATGTCGCGAACCCCGTACCGTGCCGTACCTCATTCCCTATACCGTACCGCGTTTCTGGTATATGTATACAAAAAAAAATGACTAAATATATACACGGGATAAAGTTTATTAACCCTTAAAAGACATTAAATTTATAGCAATCAAAGGAAATCATACCACTCTCACAAAAGCCATGTAAGCTTTACCATTTACCCAACTTTAAAACTTTTTTTACATTCATATAAGACCATAGTGTTGTGCTGGAGAATTACAATGTCTATTCATAGTACCTATTACATCAGGAGGACCCCCTGTTCTTCAATCTAGTTAGATTATTGGTTTTTCTTGATGGTTAAGTTCTTCAACAACTTTTAGAAGCTCAAGACATTCATCATGTTCATCACAATTTAACAAAGATTCTATGTATGATAAAACTCCATCTTTCTCCTCAACACCAGCTTTCCACAAAAGATCAGACATCAAATCTTGCATTTCCCGAATCTTTCCTTCCTTTCGAAGACCATGAAATAAACAACAACATGATTCAAAAGATGGCATAGGCCCATGATCAAACATCAACTTCATCCACACTACACAATCATCATATTTTCCTTCATGAAACAAGTGTTCAAGAATCTGAGAACATGAAGTAATGTCAGGAAAGTAGCCATTTTTCACCATTTCTTGAGCCAATTCATAGCCTTCAACTATTCGTCCCACTTTATATAACCCCATGATCAAGAAACTATTAACATCCGAATCCTTAACACCATGTTTCTTGGCCTTTTGTAAAAACTCAACACTATGAGTAGCATTCATTTCTTTAAACACAGTAAAAGAAGCATTTTTATTTTTAGTTTTACCATTGTTGGAGATAACTAATCCTTCAAGCAATGAAGAAAAAGTCTCAAAGTTTGGTGAACACTCGTCTTTTACCATATCATTCAAGATTCCAAATGCATGATCCAACTCACCCGATTTAACATAAGCTTTAATCAATATAGTATAAGTAACAACATTTGGAGATACACCCGTATCACGCATAGTTTCAAGAAGCTTCAATCCTTCATCCATTCTACCATTTTGACATAATGCATCGATGAAAACCGTGAATGTGTAGACATTTGGAGGACAATTACAAAGTTTCATTGATTCAAAAACTTTTAAAGATTGACCAAAATTACCTTCCCTTAAATACCCATCAATTAGAATTGTGTAAGTCACAACAGAAGGAGTCACACCACATTTCAACATCTTCCCAAAAATAGCATTTGCATAGCCCACCTTCGTATCTTTATTGAAAGCATCAATTAGTGAGTTGAAGATGTGAGGGCTGGTCAAAGTAAGATGTTTGACCATTCGATTAAAAAACAAAACTGCATTTTCTGTTTTACCATTCTTGCAATACCCATCTAAAAGAGCAGTAAATGTGACTTCATCAAGAGTTACACCCTTTTTCATCATTACACCCAAAATCCCATTTGCTTGATCCACTTTTCCTTCTTTGGAAAGCTGATCTATGAGTGTTGTATAAGCAAATCCATCAGATTCAAGGTGAAGTGAATCCATGGAGTTTAGAATCCTAAAAGCCATATCAAGTTGGCCTTCTTTACAAAACCCATCAACCAATATGTTATAAGTTAGTGTCTCGGGTCTTAAATCATTCTCAATTATCTTTCTCAATAATGACATGGCTTTGTAAGGTTTACCAATTCTACATAAACCTTCCATAAGTTCATTGTAGGTGCGAATATTTGGTCTACTGTTTCTCTTTTCCATCATGGCAAGAAGCTCAAAAGCAGAAACAACTCGTTCTTGTTTGCAGTAGCCATTGATGAGTGCATTGTAAGTAATCGTGCCTGGAATTAACCCATCTTTGATCATTTTTCTAAACATCGAATTTGCCTCTTCAATTTTACCTTCCATGCATAATCCATTGATCAATATTGTGTAAGTATGAGCATTGGGGTTACTTCCTTTCTTGAGCATCTCATCAAGTAAATACATAGCTTTATCAGTAGATCCTAAGTCACAAATTGCTTTAATGAGAACAGTATATGTACGTGTACTTGGATGGCATCCATTCATGAGCATTTTTTCCTTTAATGCAAATGCTTCTGTGAGCCTACCTGATTCACATAGACCATGAATCAGTATCGTGAAAGTTACCTCATTTGTCCCACAACCATCTCTTTTTGACATTATATCAAACACTTGGAAGGCCTCTTTAAGATCACCTATCCTGCAATAGCCTAGTACTAAAGAAGTTGAAATATGAACATCTACATTGAAACCAAGTTTCACAATTCTTGAAACAAACATTTCTGCACCTCGTACAAACCCATTCTTGCACAAAGCGTTTATCAGTGTGTTGTAATCTATCGAACCTAAAATGAACCCATCATTCACCATTCTTTCATAAACTGAAAAGGCTGATAAACCCATTTGTAGCTTACTTAAACACATCAAAAGAGTACTATAACAAGGGTAACTAATCCTGAAACCAAATTTCCTCATATCATCAAGAACGCTAATCAATCTCAAAGCCTCATTTACAGTATTACTACAATCTTTGATCAAGAAGACAACGATCACCTTGTGTAAAACCCCAAAATAATTACCACGCATAATTAAATTCGAAAGATGGATTCTACTATCCATACTGTAACAATAAGTTGACTGTTTACACACCCATTTGAAAAATCGGACGCAGAGTGCGACGTTCTCGTTGTGAAGGGAGATGACCTTACACGCTGATTCAGGACTCATGTGGGAAGCAAGCGATTTAAGATATGTGTTATGTTCCCAATTCGGTTGTTTCAAAAGATCTGCTATCTGATCAAGGTTGTCATTGTTTGCGGGTTTCTGGGTGAACTGAAAAACATGGCAAAGCGTTCGATTGTGTTTGACGGAGAGACTCCGAAGTTTGCTTGTAGAAATCAACATGCATTTGACTAAAGAATTTCAGGCAGCGACGTCTGAACTCTGTAGATTCGAAAAGAGTCGGCGTGAGGCATATTCATAGGAGAGGGTGGAGGCCTATTCATACACAGAGAAATGGTGGTGAACTGAAATTTTAGGTGCTGTTTGTTTTTACCGTGCAGTCTGCGTACCTGGTACTGTAAACCTCTGCAATAGAAGAGGTGGACCAAACGTTCTGTAGTCTGAAATTGTTATAAATAATTAACGAATCTAGATCAACTTTTATGTATTATTGTATAAAAAATAAAAATAAAAATGGTATGAATTAACGTATATATTTGATAAAAACCAACAACTTTGGTTGCAAAGTTTTAACTAAACATTATAATTAGTGATCAAAGAATTTGATACATAAATGGATAGAAATAAACTTCGATTTTTTCAATTAAATCCATTAAAAATGTATCATAAATATTTTCTCGAGAAATTGACGATATTGTATTAAATAATATTTTACAAAATTTTGCAAAAAATATAAGAATATATTATGATTTTTTTTCATATTTATATAAACAACTTCAACGACTATTATTGTAATAAATATTCATTTATAAATTTGTCAAAAATATCATGTTTGTATCGTCGAACGTTTTTTTTAAGTTTTGTAATTTTTTTGTCAAATTGTTTATCATAAATAAAGTTGGAAAAAATATAAATTAAAAAAAAACTTAAAAAAAATAAAGATATATATGTTTTTTAGGCTAGAAGATGTCTGAAGATGTTAGAAGACTCTGGTCCACATCTGCGCCAAGAAGAGGGCGCGCAGACATTTTTAGGTCTGCAGTCTTCAAAAAAACAAACAGTCTGCGAAGGCTAATGTCTGCGCGTGGTCTGCGTGGCGCAGACAAAAGAGGTCACGCAGATCTACAGACAAAAAACAAACACTACCTTAGAGCACGCCATGATATAGTCAAAATTTAGAAAGGACTAAAATAAAAAAAAAAGTTTATAAAACGACATTGTGTTGCGGAGGCGAGAGAAAGGAGAGATGAGAGAGAATTTAAGGGGTTTTTATTAGACAAAACTTCAAAAATGGTCCATGTGGTTTTCGAAAATATCAAGTTTAATCTTTAAGTTCAAAAAACCTTATAGATGGTCCCTGTGGTTTCAAAACTTTTAACATTTGGTCCTTCCGGCTCACTCCGTTAGCATTTCACCGTTAAGTAATTGACATTTTTGTCATTTCACTACCCAGGGACCATTTATGAGGTTTTCTATTACTTTTTTAAAAAATAATAATAATAAATGAATAAAATTTAATATGCAAAGGGTCCCACCCTCTCTCTCTCTCTCTCTCTCTCTTTCTCTCTCTTTCAAGAACTTACGATTTAAGAAGACATCTTCAGGTCCTTTTCCAGACCCATAAGTGTGTCCAATGTGTGTGGGTGTGATGTTGAAAATCGAATTGTGTTCAAGCCCATAAATCGAGATCTGAAAATCGATCCCCATAAACGAGTTTGTTCTTGTTCTTGAAACAAAAACATGAAGATGAAGGGTCTATTCGTTAGAACCCAGAACATGAAAATCGTTAGAATCCAGATGAAGGTTTTGGCCATAACTGTCACTCTTGTTCCCGTTTTGGTCCAATTGTAATTACCAGAATCGAATTTTTGAAGATTTACCTTATTCTTGTTAAAAAGTCTTCAAGGATTTAATCCTTGGTAAGTTAAAGAACCTGTCTTCAATCTCCAGCAATGATTCAAGAACGTCGTCAAACTGAGATTTTGGAAACAAAAAACAGATTGATCGGACTCACCCAATCATCCAACCGCTGGATCCTGCCATTAGAATCAGCCGACGAGGAACATTAGAATCGGCCCACACAAACAAACCTAGAATCACCGGTACCGACCACCACCACTCTCGCCGGAGAATCAGGATAGCGATAGAACAGATGGTCCCTAACTTTTCTTTACAGTCTCGTTGGGGAAGACAGTCTTGCCACCACACCTATGAAAACCTATAACTTAGGTAATCTGGAAATGGATAGAATCCCATAAACCCATATCAAATATATTCATCACTCAAATCGATCTTCAAACTTGAAATCAGAAACCTTGTATCAAATCCCTCTCCAAGAAATCAGACCAGAACATGAAATTAAATGAATCCAACAATGGTGGTGATGACTCCCTTCCAGAAATTGAATCCCCAACTCAAATTGAATCCATAGCATCGCCTCAACAATGGTGCGTGATCTCAGTCTCGGAGGCGACAGAGGAAGACCCGACCAAGATTCCCCGATCCCACAAGGCGTACAAGCTTAAGATGACTAAGATGGAGAATCCCGTCGGAAGAAAGGTTGGTGGCAGTTTTAATGGCGGACCAGTTAGCATTAGATTTCCGGTGAGGGCGAGAATAGAGATTATGTACAACAGTGGAAGAAGTGGAGGCGGTGGCGGAGGAGAGACGAGTGTATTCGTTAAAGCTTAGACATAAGTTGAAACGAGCAAGACGAGAGATAGAGAGAGAGAGAGAGAGAGAGAGGGTGGGACCCTTTGCATATTAAATTTTATTCATTTATTATTATTATTTTTTAAAAAAGTAATAGAAAACCTCATAAATGGTCACTGGGTGGTGAAATAACAAAAATGCCCCTTACTTAACGGTGAAATGCTAACGGAGTGAGTCGAAAAGACCAAATGTTAAAAGTTTTGAAACCACAGGGACCATCTGTGAGGTTTTTTGAACTTAGAGATTAAACTTAATATTTTCGAAAACCACAGGGACCATTTTTGAAGTTTTGTCTTTTTATTATTATTTTATTTATTTATTTATTTATTATTTTTTTAAGGAGTGAGAGTGTGAGGGTTTAAGTTATTTTTTTATAGATCGGTTCTACATAATTTATGTTTTATAAATTTGTGTAATATAACATTTTAATGTATAAATTATTTTGTATGGAGAAAATTTGTTGTGTACGAATAACTATATTTCTTTATTTTATTTTATATTTACATTTTACCAATTTGACCAACCTTCTCCCTTCAAATGACATGTCATGCATCTCTTGTAAATCCAGCCTAAAGGGAAATGAAATGTCTCGTAATTTTTTTTTTTTAAAAAGTAAGGAATCAAAGAAAATGAAATATGTTCTTAGTGTTTTTTTTTAATTATGAGTAAGGAAACTATCCGTCTAAATATAATCTAAATGAGATGGATTCTTATCTTTCCATTCCATTATTATTATTATTATTATTATTATTTTTTCATTTCTTTTGTTCCATTGCTTTTTCTTCCCTTGTTTTTTAAATTGAAAACAAAAAGTAAATGCTTTTATACCAAAAAAACATATTTGTGTATTTTGCAAATGAATTATTGAAATTATTTCATATAATTGTCTAACCTTTTAAATTATGTAATATGATGATTGTCAGAGATACATAAACATCAAAGACAAGATAGGGCGTATAAAGGTGCACCCCAACATAGTCGGCAAAGTAAAGGGGCGCCCCTTATCGGGTAGAGAGTTATCTCATGAACAAAAAATAGAATCATAGGTTTCACCTAGATACATTTTTAGGTCCGAAATCTATATATGTGTAAATTACATGTGTTTGTGAGTCCTAACGGCCTGTTCTTGAGTTTATTTTAGGAGGAGAATAGAAAGGAAGGAAAAGAATTCAGGAGAAATTGTGTTCTTGAGCTTTTTTTAAGAAAAAAAGGGGGAATAAAATGGAAGGGGAAAGGAGGGCGGATTAAGATCATAAGGGAGGGAAATGTGCCAAAGTTACATTTTCTCTGCAATAACTCTCATTTCTTTCAAATGAAGGGAAAAAAAATATAAAAATGTTGATTTACTTCCCTCTCCTTTCAACTTAAGAACACAATTTTATTTCTATTTCCCTTTAACTCAAGAAAACAACAAAAATACATGTATTTTTTCCCGTCCATTACTCTTCTTCCCATTCATTTTTAAACTCAAAATAAAGCATGACAATATTATCAATAAACTCTTCCTAATTTGGTCGTGCACATAACATAATTATAATTAATGATAATGTGAACAACATAAATTTTTATGTTTTTTTTCTCATACCCTAAATGTATGCATGTTGTGTAGTTTGTTTTTTGTTTTTGTTAATTACTACCTTATCATAATGAAATGATAGCTTAGCTTCTAGTTTAGAATACACTTTATATTTCTAAGAAGATAACAAATAGATTTTTTTCTAAAAAGTGTCCTTTCAAATTATTGTCCATTAAGTTTCTTGATTTTGCAATATTTAGGAAGCCATCATGTGTGTATAGAACTCTTTAATTAATTTGTATGGTAATTTGAGTTCTTATAAGCATCCATCGTACAACTTCTATTTAAAGCAATAAAACTATTCTATTAAGGTCCATTTTAGCCTCTTTAATTTGATTGTGAGTTTGGTTGAGTTTAGCTTACTTTTTTTCATTGATCAACATGATAAACAAGGGTTTTAAAATGCATAATGCTAACAACAATGAGACGACTATTGAATAATTGATACCTTGAGCCGTATTTGAACCGTGATATTTTGTTATGTGCCATACAATTTGTCAATTTCTTGGTGGCTTCGGTACCCAAAGAGATTAAAGACGTAAGAATGATCGACTATGTCAACATCATGAATTTATATTTTTTAGGTTTCAAAAAAACTATACCTTATATAAGTTCTTTAATCATCATCTTGCATAACCATACATGTAAATCTCTTTTAGTATCTATATGCTTAACGAAATTGAAACAAGATTTTTAGTTTTAAAACTTAGAGGGTATAAATGCTTAAGTCTAAAAGTTGTTCATGCTTAACGAAATCCAAAACTACCATTTTGAAATGAGTGCGGAACTCTACGGATGTTTAAGACGAAATATGGAAGCTTAAGGACTCAAATTGTTAAATACGTGAAATATAGGGACGTCCAAGATCGGTATCTTTTTCTTTGCTGAAGCTTGAAGGTGAAATTCTGTCGGTAATCTAATCCTTAGGTTCTCA